TTAGCCGCGTTATCCGACAGATTTGCCTCCCCCCCTACGTGCAACCAGAAACCCGAAGAGGCGCCCTAACAGCAAAGGGGCCCCTGGCACCCTCTGACGAACACCTTGCTCGCAGGGGCCCGCTGCCTGTAAGTGCATTTCGATGATGGCCCAATCGACATGATACGGGTCACATAGAACGGGGAAGACGTGTGTGCATGTCAGTGCTGTTCCAAACGTAACGACTTGTGTCACGCACATCCAAATTGTCGTGCCCCCACGCCGTACGCCTCTCCCGTGCAAAGGGTTCGACCCGAAAACCCATCAGTAACAGGGGGCCCACATGACCGTTACAGGACCAGGACTTGACAAATGCTTATCACGCCAGTTGACCCCACAAACGGAGCCCACTACACTCACCTGTCTCCCAGAATACCTTAGATATTCACCATCTCTTGGAAATTACCGGTTAGGATGTAACAAGTTGAGCATACGTGGTAGTTTCTTGATGTGGACTTGGCAATATCTTTCCACCCTCTCCACGCCATACATCTAAACACTGCTTTCAATGGCACCTCATCAGAGCATTTTTCTTCATTTCTGTTGTATGTCCATGCAACGGTGGCCTACCTAGGCCATCCCATGCAGCGCTCGAGGAATTTGTGTCAGAGAGCTACCCTCCATTTACATCACAAGCGACCCACCCAGAGAAACGGCCGCCAATGAGGCGTCCCAAACAAGTCTCAATTCCTTTGCTGAAAAGGGGTCGTTCCAACGACAAACCCTCTCCACCGTTTTGGGCGCTACGTGAGGGCCCAACCATACGTCCTACAGAATCAATGATGCTGCGCCCAGCAGGCTTCCGGCCTGCCATGATCTCCGAGCACTGAGTCGAGGGCACCAAACAAAGTCAACAACCCCTCCACACAAAAGGAGTAGAGTCTGCACTCCCGCACAGTTTTCACTTCGCCAGCGAACCGCGATATCACAACTTGCATGCTGGACCTCAAACATAAACCATCACAGAATTCGGACCGCAAAGTCTGCTGCATATCCCACAACCTAGTTGCACCAATACACTAACCCAATATGCCATCCAATCCCGCGCAACGATGCTATACATTTGGACCTGACTAGTTCCGTGGACCTTAGTCATCAACCCGTATGGGATAACACACAAAGGGCAACGAGTCATCAGCACCAGGACCCAGCACTCCCCGCACTGCAACATCGTCCTTGACGTTTGCCCATGCTGGGGACACAAAAAAACAAACAGTCATCAGCAAAATGTCATTTCTGTTCCTTAGGTTATCACATCCACAGAAATGCACACTGTCAAGCTGCACATGACGCCTGCTGAGTCGTTTGGCACTGATTTTGTATGGTGCGTAGGCACAAGGTCTTGAGAGTTCTGCACCACACAACTCCCAATACCTTGTGCTTCAGCATCATGATGGAACCTTGATTGCCTGGCATCTGCAACCGGCACAGCATCAACAGGAGCAGGAAGACATCTGCAGAGGCTGACCACAGCGAGGCCCATGGCCTCCACTTCATGCGGCCTACATCCAGTGGGAAAGCTACGGCTATCATTTGCAGCAACCTCAGCACAAGCTCACTTGCATCGCCAAAAGTGGCTTCCAGGAGCTGCTGCAGTTTCTTTATCTTCTTCTCCTCTGGCTGCACGATGCCCGCCACAAAGCTTGGAGGGAGCCCATATCGCAGAATGCTCTCCACAAATAGCCGAATGACACATATGTGGATCCATGCACTGACAGCCTGTGCAAGAGCATAGAAGTGTGTAAGATCCAGATAGAAACCAGACGCTGTGAACCAGGTAACAACGTGTGACACACTATCAGCCGAATGCAGCAACTGAAACAAACTTTTTGGAACATTGGCGGGCTCTTCATTTATCCCCAATGGCCAGATACAGGCCCAACACGCAGCAGCACTTGGCCTATTTATCACAATTCCAACGTGCTCGAACCTCGCATCAGTACTGGTGATTCATGGCCACACCAGTGGAAACATGTAGTGTAACTTGGAATCTGAACAAGCACACTGCAAAAAATGTGTCCTGATTCTGTGCGAAGATGAGCGTTTTGGTCAGTTCACTAGTTGTACAAGGCCTCTGCTCCATCACAGCTTGGCGCCTGTACTACCTTCTAACATGGACGATCACCACACAAGATAGTAGGTTGTTAATACACAGATTGGCACAAGGCCATGTCGATGACTGCACTACACAACGACTACAGGGTATCAACAAGGACGATGCACAGCTACGACAAACAGCCGATGGTAGAATGCGTTTCTGTACATCACTTCACACCTCTCCGTATGCCGTTTGACACCACTCCATCAGGTGGATTCTTTTGGTGCCTGCCTCTGCTTTGCTCTTCTCCAGCTCTTCGCTTGAGCGTGCCTGCTCTTCCTCATCCAATTGGAAATCCCGTACCTACACATGCAGAAACATGTGTGTTGGCATTCAAAGTAACCTGCAAGAATGGCCTGCTGCTGTGAATTTCAAACAATGTGTGATCGATCAAAATGCACAAAGAGAAGCAATACAGCCAGGGCTGTGGCTTCCATCCTATCGACAGAATCGGAATGCTACGATACAGGCTGTGCAAATTGAATCCAATCTCCACAGAAAGGGGCATCTCCATGCCATTACACGCCTGAAACTAGCACAAACTTTGCAGCTGTGCATCCAGGTCCAAAACAAGAATACCTCTGAAGGTCTTCCATTGTCAATCATCTGTTCCAAAGCGATGGAAGTTGTTGTGGAATATGGGATTTGCTCTTAGTTCTCAAGCGTCAGCCAATCGGATGGATACAGCACACATGAGAGGTGCTCACATGCTGGAAGGTGGGATGACGATACCACATGCTCAAACACTGTCCAGCAAGAAATCGCTTAAAACTGGACGAAGGATGAATGCTTGAACTCCCTATACATACCTGAAAGCCCTTAGTCCGCGCCTCAGCCTTGAAGTTGTCCAACTCCTTGGCAAACACAATGACGCTCGCCAGCGCATATTCATTGTCCTGCTGGATCACCCTGGAGGAACGAGGAAGCTGGCCTCGACAAATGCACACAAAATTGATCAGAATGTGCAACCAACAACAAATGGCAACCCACTTCCTTGACAACCCACTTCCTTGACACAGTCGCATGCGGAAACACAGGACACTGTGCAAGCTCCTGCACAGTGATCATATCCCAGAAATTATGCCTGGAGGAAATGATGCCTGCAGCCTCATTTCAGCAGTGCACCTGGCAGGTCAAGGCAATGGAGACTGCCACGTTGGCCCTGATGCACGTTGGAAGGGACAGATGGTTGCCTGGAGATTTTGGACGTCAGCCAGCATCCTCAATGCAAGGTGTGCAACTATGAAGGGCACAAGATTTACGATAGGCTGGCATATTCCTCTACGGCCATACCCACATGTGAGGCAAAACTGAGGGCCTTGAGAATAGGGCCGCGCAGGCCTGTAAATGAGAACCTAGTGCACCGATCTCCGAGCGGACATATAGCACCAGTTGCCTCTGCTTGTAGGCACAACGATCTGGCAACAGCAGCAGGCAAGTTCTTCTTACCACAAAGTCATTAAGCCTCTCATATGAAGTTTCCCATTCCTTGAGACGAAATATTGGGACTACCACGAATGTGGTCATCATGAAGTCCGAGGTGAAAATGTGCTCTTTCTTCACAACGGACGAAAGATCTCGCACTGCCAAGCTCCCTGTCGCCTTCCTTGCTGCCGCACTCAGCAAGACCTTCAGTTGATTGTATTCGCCAAGTTTGACCTGGGACAGACACATATTGCGATCACTGATTTTCCGCCAACCCGTTTGTTAATGGCAAATACAGATTGCATCCCATCAGAAGGCCTCAACGTTGGCACAGTCAGCTGTCTAAACTTTGAGAAGACGAAGGAGACGAAAAGAGCAAAAGAGCATCCAACTCGCGATGCCACAAAGATCCCAACATCTTGCGATTTGCATCATAAAGCGACCCAGCTAAACGTGCTCATGCCCTCCACATGATTGGAGGCCATGGCATCGCAGCATTTACCCCACCCCATACCACCGTGGTCAAAAAGCAGCATGCCTGCCGATCGACTTCGAGCATCACACGCATCAGACCGGGAGAGGCCCCCCAGGAAGGATAGCAACCGGACATTCGGGCACAAACGCCCGGGCGGCCGTACCACGTGACACTGACAGTACGCCCGGATCGCGGCACTCGCCCATTGCCGGCTCGCGCACAGCCACACAGTCGCATCCAGATTTCACTCCTTTGCGACCAATGGGCGCCCCGACCCATTCCCAGCACCCACCTTCATGTCATCCTCAAGCTTTCCGACCGTGTCTTGGATCTTTTCGACCGTGTCCTTCAGCGGCCTGTTGGACGGGTACTTCGCCTCGTCCCACGCGAAGCTGAACAAGTACCCCTCCAGGCTGCTGCCCTCCACCGTCAGGTTCACCTTCTCCCCGTCCGCCTGCGCCATGTCCGTCACCTGCCGCTTCAGCTTCGCCACGATCGCCTCCATCTGCCCCGCGGTCTTGCCCAGATCGTCGCTCAGCGCCATCAGCGTGTCCAGGGTGCCCACCCGCAGGTTGGGCAGCTGCAGCCGCTCATTGATGCTGTACTTGTTCTCGGAGGTGGTCTTCTGCTCCAGCAGGTCCCAGGTGCGGTTCTTGTCCTCGTCATCGGGCCCGGACGACAGGCTGACGAACCAAAAGTTCACCATGGCGGACCCCAGGAGCCGCCGCCGGGGAAGGGGGGGCGGGGGGGGGGGCTGGCGGCGCCGGTAGGTGCGGCCCGTGTTGGGCGCAGGGGCCGGTGCAGGGCGCGCTTGGGCCCCTGGGAGGTCCTGGGGCGGTGGCAGTGAATGGGTCGCTTGCGGGTCGCCCCTTGACGAACAATTGCTTTGTGCGCATTTGGTTGAAAATGAATGGAACGGGGCCAGTCACACAATTCGATGGGACAGCACTTCAGACTGTGCTGCGGCGTGGCGAAAAATTGACAGTGGTTGGGCGCGATGTATTTCGAAATCTGGCGCGCACGAAACCTGGCGCGCGCACCAGGGCAAAGGAAAAGGAGATGTGTGGGCTGCAAACTGTCTTCGACGGAGGTGGGAGTCGTCTGGGGCAACGATGCCCCACACTGCTACAACGGAAGCAGATTGGAAGGGAGGGTAGGCGGTCGTGGGGCTCGATGGTTGGAGCAGGAGAGGAAACTTCAGGATATCACGATGTGTATGGGCTAAAACCATCCTGATGCGCGTTGGCACACACGCGTCTCAGTAAGCACTATACATTAGTAATACAACACTTTGTTCCAGTCGTTGTCCTCCAATCGGTCCCTGCAGTGGAACGCCAACATCACATGCAAATCCCTCATCCAACGCCACAAAAACTCACCGTTCTCGGATTCAGTGGTTCACGGTGCAAAGCTTCGATGGTCTTGGTCGGTCGATCCCTTTTGCACGGCACCCTGCATGTTGCACCGCGGCCTCGCTCCGCTAGCTGGCAGGCAGTTTCGGGGAGCGACTTTGGGTCGGAGCCCCAGCATGGGCTCAGCTATGCAAAGGATGCCGGTGGTGCTGCAAAGCGGGGGCCAGGGGCGGTGGCTGTCCGGACGCTACGGGCCGGAAACGGAAACATATCAACGGCACTTACACAAGCATGAATGTCGCGTACTGAGAGTCTCAGACTGAGAACTCCGTAGAAGTTCAAGGCAGCGTAGTCGGCACTCGGCACCGCTGACTCGGAAGTTGTTCCAGCACATCATACATAAGCCGAAGTAGATCAGATTGAGCAACTCATGAATTAAGAAAGATCCCCGCTGGTTCCGCAACATTCACGAATCAGGCTTGAAGCCTGATGAATTCACATCGCGAGCGCGGTAGAATTGAGTGACGCCGCCATTTGACGGTGCCCTGATTCACATTTCACGACCCTCTGTCGTCCCCAGAGGCCCCCGCTTGTCCCTTTGGGAGTGGGCGGCCCTGGGCTGTGGTGTCGGTCGATCGTGAGCAAATCCGTGCACTGAAGAGTCGCTCGTCCAACCGAACAATGCCCGAACGCAGGCAAAGGGACCTCCCAAGCGCAGTTGCACCACGGATGTCCGCATTCCCGCACAAGATGAATTCACAGACGACCTTGGCAACGCACCAATCGGTGGTTGCTGACGTCGGCAACACATCAGACGCTGCCAATCTGGCACGCGCCACCACGCATCCCGCCCTTATCTCCGCCGCAACCACGCTCCTCCCATCCGGCCAGTCCCGCCGCCCACAACGCGCCGCCATGGACGCCGACGACGCCCAACTGCTGTCGCCCGTGGGCAGCCTTCCCCTGCTCTCAAACGCCGACGACGATGCCCCCTTCCTGAACGTCGGCACCGATGGCGCCATGCCCCGCCATGAAGATGGCGACCTCCGCCGACGGGATGTGGATGACATGGGCGAGAGCGCGCGCGACACCTTCTTCAAATTCCTGACCACGTTCCGCCGATCGTCCCCGGGATCCCCGTCGGGATCCCAGGGCGGGGAGGAGGCCACTTACGTGCAAGAGGCGCGGAATGCCGAGAAGCTAGAGCGCAGCGTGGTGTACGTGAGCTACGTGGACCTGCTGGAATTCGACCCCGATCTAGCGGACCTTGTTAGGGAAGACTACGCACGGCTGGAGCCCTTTCTGAGGCAGGCCGCTAAGCGGCTGTTCAGAACGGTGGTGCCAGAGTACGCCAGCTCCGCGCGGGGTGTGGAGAGGGAGTTTTTCGTGGGGTTTTATGATCTTCCCTTCCAGGAGCAGCTGAGGGATTTCAGGGCCAGCTGGGTGGGCCAGCTGGTGGCGTTCGAGGGCACGGTGACGCGCACCAGTGAGGTGCGGCCGGAGCTGTTCTCGGCGGCGTTCACGTGCGGCGAGTGCCAGACGCGCGTGGCGGGCGTGGAGCAACAGTACAAGTACACGCAGCCGACGATCTGCAGCAACGCGAACTGCGGCAACAGGTGGGGGTGGCGCGGCGAGCACGTGGCTCTGTTTCGCGGAAGAGGGTGGGCCGCGAGGGGGGCTCCGCAGATTCGGATGTTGGGATGTTTTGGATTGTGATCCATGGCGCCATATCCGGGTTTGGTGGGCTCGCGTGTGAGTTGGGTTTCTGTGCACGACGAGAAGGAGAACCGAGCCGTCTTGAAGCCGCGTATTTCGACTGTGTTGCGCCCTTCTATTCTCGTTTAGGATTCTCGCAGCCACCGCACTCCCATGAGCATCGGCTGTCCAAGGTTGTGAACGGCGTCCACCGTGATAGGCCCTGTGTGCTTTTGCAAGTGGTGTACGGGCTTGCAAAGGAATGACGGGTCATGGAAGGCGTATTTTGGCCTCTGAATGGGACATGTCAGGACTATGGTGAAGGACTTTGCCACAGGCAGTCAAGGATCTGTGCAGCATGGTAGCCCCTTGCCTGGCGATGTGCAACATCTCATGTTGTGGGAAGCTATCAATCCTGAAACTCACTGTCAGTCCGAATGGCAATATTGCCTTCGACTGCTGTGAAATGTGGATTTCCAGGCATTGTACAAAGACGATTCTGGACAAGGACTGGTGCACTGGGCGTCTGTCTGGCAGGGACCTGTTGCAAGTGAAGGTGCTGAGCGCCGTGCCTTTTCTTGATGTGTTTAGGACGAAGTGGATCTTGAACAAAGAGCACAGCGTCTTCATCGACTGGCAAAGGGCCAAAGTTCAAGAGAACAATGACGAAGTAAGTATGTGCACAATGTTCTCTTACTGCGATGCCCTTTCTGTGCTGATGCGTTATGGACAGACTCCAAGCTGTAATGATATGTACGTTGCAGCGCAAGTTCACCAACTCCTTGGAATCCAGTTATAAGATTTTCTGAGCTCAACTCGTTTTGTGTCTTGCCGTCTATCAACAGTAGCCAGGGTTGTTGAATGGAGCAAAAGTGAGGGCACTGAAGCAGGAGTAAGGTGGCAATTGTGCAGACTCAATTTGCAGAGCCAACGCCAACTAACTTTGGTCTTGCTGTGGGTTGGCACGATATCGCAAGCTGGGCCCAGCTATGTGGCATCGAAAATGCTCACATTAAGCTGTACATGAGCATAATGGGTGCTAGAGGCATTCTAAAGGACATCATTCTCACAAACACACTTCTTTGTGCAACTCAGATGGGCTGCAGAACAAGGACGATGTGCAGACAATTTGTGAATTTACAACCTGTGTTTTTGCCTAAAGCGTGAAGCGTGCTCTGTTACTGGTGTTTTTGCTAGGTGCCTGCTGGTTGTCTGCCGCGCACCATGGAGATCATCCTCAGAAATGAGCTGGTGGAGCAGATCAGGCCCGGCGACAACATTCTGTTCACTGGAACCATCATCGTCATCCCTGATGTATCAGTGCTATCCACTGCAGGAGAGAAGATCCACGGTGAGAAATCATGGCAGCTTGTTCCTGAAACCATGGTGCAGAGTAGGGTGGGCCAAACCTGCTCCCACATACATGTGTTGACATTGGGATCCAAGTACCAGACATTGTGCTCATTAAATTCTACATGCACATCTTGAGAGAAAATTGTGTCACGTACCAGGCCCCTTCAGGCAAGACTTTAGCTGTCAACCCCAATTGATATCTGGCGTGGGCATAATTTCAGAGTAGAAAATGAAAAGAAAGCCATCTTTCTTGTGTCTTATTAGTTGTTGGATCAGTACAGACGGATGCACGCACCCATACAGCCACATGTGTATCACAGCAAGAAAGGATCGTGGGCCCTATTGGCCCCTCCATTGAGGGGGAGAGGTGTTCCCTTCGCATTGCACGACTGCCTGGCCTAACAGCCTTCTGTTTCTACACAGCGAGAGGCAGGTCGCAACTGGCGCGCCTGGCAGATGGCGTGACTGGCCTGAGGGATGCTGGCGTCAGGGAGCTCACCTACAGAATGGGCTTCCTGGCCACGTCCGTCTTGGTGAGCATCGTCATCAATCGCCAAGTTAATGTGGATCAGAATCTGAGCATTCATGGCTGCTGACCTAAATCTGACTCTGTACCGGAAGCTCTTCCATCGCGCTTGGTGCTGTGTGAACAATGCAAAGGCCGCGACATTGAAATGGCTCAGGCCTGCTTTGGGCTGTCCAGAATAGTTAGTAACGGTGTTGGCTCCAGTGTCCTATAGTTGTTGAAGAAGACGATGTGGGCAACACCAGTGCTGGACCACTCAAGCTACAGATTTCCTTGGCTGCATTGCAGAGACCAAGCCAGCGAGAAGGTGTGGTCAACATTCGTGACAGCGAGGATTCCGGAATGGAACCTGAGGATGTCCTGGAGGCGTTCAGCGAAGAGCAGCAGGAGGACATCGCTGCTATGAAGGCTGACCCCTCCATCTATGAAAACTTGGCCAAGAGCATTGCGCCATCAGTCTATGGACATGAGGACATTAAGCGAGCTATTCTGCTGATGTTGGTTGGTGGTGTGCACAAGCAAACAGGAGAGGTAAGCAGTGTTGGTTTGAACTGTCCACCCATTTCAGTGCAATCATTCAGTTTCTGCCGCTCACTGGCGCATTGAGAAAAAGGGGTTCAGTATCGATTTGCAACTGGCAGAACAGGTCACATCCAAATTGTTGTCCTGTGACGGCACCATTTGGCCACCAACCAGGCGTGCTGCCAAATTCAGTATTGCTGAGCTGCGCTGACTGCATAGCTGAATGTCCTTGTGTGCTCTTTTAAGCAAGGGTGGGCAACTCGGCGCCTCCAGAAAGCAAAGGCAACTTTTCTGGTACATAGTAATGGTAGAGGGTGTCGGTACCTTGCTCTGATGTCACCAGGGATGAACGATGTTGGCTTTCAACACTTTACAAATGCTGTGCTGGACCTATTGCTGCTCATCTGCTGGGGCGAAAGCCACAACTGGAGGATGTTCTGCATTGACATCACTGTATGCATGTAACATGAAGTGATGGCATGAAGCAGTGGAATAGGACAGTATGGAGTAGTGTGAAATAGAAAGGGCCACATTTGTTCCTCAACAGCAGGTCTCAAAACGATCTTCCTGCTAGCTATGAGCACCATGTATTTGTTGCGGGCAGCCGCTACTAACCATGCATTTCAGTACTCTGCATCCCCCCTTGAGCATCGAGACTACTTTGGTCGTTATTGGATCCACCAACACTGCGATAGATGAAAGCACAGTGAGATGTATGCTTTGATGGTTGGGCTTAATGCACTGATATGTTCATGCTCTGATGGACATGCTCAGGGCATCAATCTCCGTGGTGATATCAATGTGTGCATCGTTGGCGATCCTGCATGCGCCAAGAGCCAGTTCCTCAAGTATGTTTCGGACTTCCTGCCACGGGCTGTGTACACAACAGGGAAATCAAGCAGTGCAGCTGGCCTCACAGCTTCAGTTGTGAAGGTAATTGGCTCCTGGCTCCATTTTCTGACTTGCTGTTGGTCGTGAGTTGATCAGAAAGCGGTGATGACAACCAGCACAAGTTAGCGTTGCCTATTTTGGTGAGAAGAACGGCTCAGTGAGAGGTTATTGAAATCTCATGTATCTCCTGGAGCCAGATTACGCTCGGACCAACACCCACGAAGAAAAGAAGCCACATACCTCTGGTGCATGCTGCTCAATTTCCTTTGCACCAGCCTTTTAATATAGGTCCTTCCTGAGAAGGACTCCAGCCAGTCTAGAGTGACAAGTGATATCTCACAGACACTGACTTTTGTTTCCTGAGTGTGCACAGGAGCCTGACAGCCGTGACTTCTGCATCGAGGCGGGTGCCCTTATGCTGGCTGACAATGGGATATGTTGCATTGACGAGTTTGACAAGATGGAGTCAAAGGACCAAGTGGCGATTCATGAGGCAATGGAGCAGCAGACAATATCCATATCCAAGGCAGGAATACAGGTAATACATCAATTGCTTTTCTCGCCCAACTGACCCTCGATGAATTCATGACAGCCTGCAATGAAGTGAACATGATGGACTGCATGCTCCTCCGAAAATACTTAGCTTGTTGTGGTGGTGTGGCAAACCACCAGCATCACTGTGTTTTGTTAGAATGACAATACTGGAAGTCTGCCTTGCAAAACTGTGACAACAAAGCACTGCTTACATTCACCCTTGGCCAATTTGACAACCAGCACAAGTGTGCAGTGTTCACGTGGAGTGCCCATCTTTCTCAGCCCCCAAAGCTCACATAAGCGACTTCAAGCAGCACAACGCTGGCAGAGTAACAGCATGTTCAGTTACTTGCAACTGGCTTGCAGTTGATCTCAGTCACTGTTTGTTTCTCATCACCAGGCCACCCTCAATGCCCGTGCCTCGATTCTTGCTGCTGCGAATCCGATCGGAGGCCGCTATGACAAGTCCAAGCCGCTCAAGTGGAATGTCAACTTGCCTCCTGCAATTCTCTCAAGGTTTGCAAGGGCAGGCTCAAGATATACTGAGTTCTTCATCATTTGCTCAAGTTGGTACAACATTTTGCTGCACTTACTGCAAATCATGAAGATTCAGTATTGAGTGGGGCCTGGGTTTGGAGGTAGCTCTCTCAAACTCGTTGTTCTGCTCATTTTAACTTTTCATGCTGAGTGCAATCGCAGGTTTGACTTGCTGCATGTCATGGTGGATGACCCAAATGTGGACAGCGATGACCACATTGCCTGGCACATCATGCACATGCATCAGCACATGGAGCGGGCTGTGCCTGTCCCATACAGCAAGGCCCAAGTTCAGCTCTACATCCGATTCTGCAGGAGCATAAGGCCAAGAATAAGCCAACAGGTATGTTCAACATATCTGGAGGTCCACCTGTGGCTGTCCTTTAACATCTTTCTTCCTGCTACTTTGACCTGTAGCCACCTGATAGCACAAATGTCAGTGGCAAATCTTGGCCAGCACAACCAGTCACATCCTGGGCAGTCTTCTCCACTGTGGCGTTTCACATATCAATGCTCCTATCACTGTTGCCCACATGGTATGTGACCACATGTCAGCACTGTTTTGCCATTATGCACCAGATTTTGCCCCAGATGTAACAGCATTCAGGTGCGCATGCACAAGCATTGGCCCGTTTACTATGTGTAGCAACGGAACACCTGAACTCCACAATGTTCTTGTCCCTCTTCAGCATGATCCTTGACAGTTTTCCTAATATTCTGCTCAGGCCAAGCGCGTGCTGATCAATTCCTACAAGATGCTGCGCAATGAGGATGCGGCACCAGGGAGCAGATCTGCATACCGGATCACTGTCCGGCAGCTGGAAGCACTCATTCGCATGTCTGAGGCTCTGGCTAGGCTACGCTGCAATGGGGAAATCCAAGCAGGTCATGTCAAAGAGGTGCGGGTGATGTCAAGCCGGCAAGCAAGCCAGAGCCATTGCACACAAATTGACATGAATGCAGATGAACAAGAAACCATCAATCTGATATTGCCGTCCTAGGAAGGGGCCGTCGCTTCCACGTGGCTATTTGGGATGGCCCTGCTGTGTCAGTGGTGGTTGCTTGGCCAAGTACTCTTATCCTCGTCAATTGTAGCTGCTCAATCCCAGCCCCAATACGCACAAGATTGCATGCACCATGGCTTGTCAAATTCTGTTTAAACAAATGACTGGACGAAAATTGCGTGCTCCTTTAAGATTCGATACAATTCCAAACTAGCTGCACAGTCAGCCTCCTGGCCATGTGGAGCTCTGATCGCGGCAGGCGTTGATTCATGGCAGGCAAGACGCCTTCTCAAGAACTCTCTCAATGCCCTCGAGACTCCTGACATTGAGCTTGAGGACATGGAGGGGGACGCCCAGGAGCAGCCTGTCGTACCCAATGCTGACGCCATGGACATCGAAAACGAACCTGGGGCAGAGAATGTGCAAGAACGGTGCGTTTTGGGAACTCTGACGCACTTTGGCACTAAGGGTATGTAGGACGAACGTTTGCTTGCCCATCGGTGAGTTTATTCACCCCCTGCGTCCTCTGCATTGTTGGAATATCATATAGCCGGGATCACAATGGATTGACGCCTGCACATTGTTTGTAGCCCAACAAGCCCACCGCCAGGCAGCACACCTGGCAGGGACCGGCAGCCCCTTTTGGAACGCCCGGAGAGGGGTCAAAACGACATGGACATGGAAGATGGAAAACAAGGCAGGAATGTGGAAGAGGAGAGAAAGCAGAAGCCAGAGAAAAAGAAGATTACACAGCAAAGATTCTTCACAATTCAGGTAGGTCTTGCTTGGCCAGGACTGTGCATTTTGCTCCGAAACTGGAGACACACTGGCTGGACCCAAGCTGCGCCCTGCAAATCGCCCTCACTGTGGTCTGCTTCCTGTGCCCAGAAAATTTTGGTCCATGTGCTGCGACAACAAGAGGAGGAGGCCCTGAGTGCTGGGAGTACAGCAACTGTGGGCATGCGGCAAAAAGAGCTGTCGGAGCACTACTTGCGGCAACAAATTGAAAGGTGTGGCCGCCATGGGTTGCCTTCATACCTGCTGCCGATAAGCCTCTGATCCATTTCTTGCCTGCTCACATCTTGTGCTTTCCCATTCCCTTACTTTTCCTGCATGGATGGTGGCATACACGTCAAAAGTGTGCTGCGCATTGATATGGCTGTATTGTGACCTAACACACTGTTTGTCGATGCCATGCATTGACTTGTGCTCACCCATACTTTGCTTATTGCCGACTTGCAATTTTCCAGGAGGGGACTGCAACGGGAAGATGCCCAAGAAGAAGCTGAGGTGGTTGGGAAAGTCATCGCCATGTTGATAGCCAAACATGACGTCCTGGTTGTGGCCTACACTCCTGAGCGACAGGAAGGGGAGTCTCTGCAAGCTTACAATAGAAGGAAGAGAATGGAGCGTGTCCTTGCAGTGAATCCAATGTATACAGAGGCCGACTAGATGGCCATTAGACTGTTGAGCAGACTATGCGGCGGATGACTTTCAAGGTAGGGGTGCATCCCAACTAGGAGAATAGGCAATGGGCTCCCAGAGTCAGCAGGAATGAACTCGCTGGCAGCAGCGCAGGTTGAATCCCTCTTGTAGATTCCACTCCATCAGCCATTTCAGCAGCGGAGGGAGTTTTTTCTGCCCGTTTGCAATGAATGTAGATTATTTTTGCTCTGTTGAGAGGGGCCAGGTGCTCACAGACGACCGAGTTGGGGTCGAAGTGTTTCCATGATTTCAAAACCAGGTCTCACCACAGGCTCCAACAATGCCCCCAAACAATTGTGTTGTCATTTGAGAGACAACCATTGCATAGCAACTGAAGAGATACACGAACAGTTGCACAGTCAAGAATCGTCGAATCTACAAATGATTGACCCCTATTATCAGCTAAAGTATCAAAGGCCGAATTGTCCAGAAGTGTGTCCTTTTGGAATTTCGTACCGTGTACTTAAGCAATTCGCAAAATGAGTGAGGTGATCGGGATGCAAGGTGTCAGACCCAAACCCGACAGTGGACTCAATGAACTGAATTGAATGCAGAAAATGATGGTAAACAGGCTATTTTGTTGGTTCGTGGGGACTTGACCGATGCAAAAGTCCATAGCGCAACTTGGCACCCACAAAGCCAACAAAGATACTCAGGGGCAGGAATAGCCTACCAGAAAGCTGGGATGTTTAATGAAAGACCCCTGCTGGTGGGTGCCAAACATTTCACCACAACACAGCGATGCTAGCTACCTTCTTGTGAACAAACATCTACACAGTCTTCAGAATCATGGTCCTCTGTGAGTTCACAACAACACTCCCAGGCAATCTCCGCCCAAGCTGCTCAACACCATGAGTGCTCCAACACTATGGTGGCAACTTTCCAAGGGCGCAGTTTTTGAGCCACAAATCAAAGCATACATATCAGCATATCGACCATGCAGCTGTGTAAGTTGTCTGATGACTGCTTCACACTCTCGCCACTATTTGCTCACCCCCCATCTGCAGCATCCTGCAGTTCATACACATCAATGACACAGCTGATTCAGCAAACTCAAAAGAGCGCCTTCAAAATGCTGTGTGCGGGCATGCACTTGCATATTCATCGCCTTCCGAATGTTACGCCACTTGTCCTTGAGTTGTACTGAACTTCTTCTTTTCAGGGCAGCACTTGAGGCCAATATTGCCTTCCAACGGCCTTCACCAAATTTGCAGACTCCATTTGCAAGTGCCAGAACTTCGTCGTTGCTCCAAGGAATGTTGCGCCGGTACTGTGACAGCAGCATGACACCATTGTCAGAAAGGGTGCTTCATGAACTTCCAAACAAAAGCCATCGAGAACACAGGCAGAACAAGGATGGTTCAAATCCATATCAGCACAGGTCCAGGCAGTGTTCCGATCTGCCATTGTCTGCTGCATCCACGCTGATCACATAAATTGTGCGGCACTGCACATTGTCGCCTTTTCATTGTGTGACACAATCACAACAGGACAATGTGCAATGTCACTCTTCAACGATGCTGTGTGATGCTGCAAACAGCACCAATGGGCACAGCCCGTTGAGTAGCACCCAAGAATCATAACAGCATTGACTATAGCACAGGCAGCCGTATCAACCATACCGAAATTGTTGGAGATGAACTTGGTGGCGTTCCAGCAGCAGGCAAGGGAGTTGGAACGCTGTGCTGCCCTACGTTCGCAGACGTAATTGGAGCACCGCCCATAGTGGTGGCAGAGGCTGCAACACAGCTTGCTCTGGTGGCAATGCCTTTGTTCCTGGCAGCCGTTAGGGCATCGTCTGCCAGAATGGCGTGCCCAACATTCCTAGAAGAAGGAACACTGCTTGTTGTGGCACCATCACAGTTAATGCCCTGCCCGTGTTTTGCTCCCTCTGGGAAGGCCCGGGTGCGGGCAGAATGGCGGTGATATGTGACCAGGCTGCCAGACACCACACCCTGCTCAGCCAGAGGCCGGTCAAGGTCCAGACAGAGAAGGCCAAAGCCACTGCTGCCTTTCTGTACAAGGTAGAATGTGTAGTCCCCAGGAGAGCTCTGCAGAAGGCACAAACGCAATTACCTGCCAAACACATGTTACAGACTGCACGTCTGCACACAACTGCAACTATGATAAGCGTGCGTGGTTTCTTCCATTTCATGTATCAGGCTAGCTCTTGCATCCCCAAATAAGATGATGTAGACTGAAGCCATGGGATACTCTGTGCAAAAAGCCGTGGCTTTGTCTTCTTCCCAGGTTAGCACCCGGACAAGACTGAAATTGATACTTTGCAGTGCCCATGAAGATGCTTCTTTTCTCAAAGCAAGGAATTGGGTGCTTCAACATGAACTTGACAATCGGTGGGCCAGAAAACTGTCTGCTAACAGGTGACAGACGATAGGATTGGTGCACACAGTGTCGTGGCATAGCCATTGCGGTTGAATTGGAGAGGCAAACACCACAATGCCCCACAACTCCTTGCCAGAGTATAACACATTCTAAACTCTTGGAGACTCTCTGCACAGCGTAGCAGATCTCATCTGAAATCAAGAAAAGATTGCCGTCGACCAGCTCACTTGCGGTTTCACCAATTTTGCAAATGCTTAACAACAAGGCAACAGCATTGCACATCTACTTGCTGACATGATTGTTCAGGCTTGAAGCTGCTTTGCAAGAAGAAACCGTTTTCAGTCACATATGCTTCTCACCACACCATCATGGTTCCCAACAAAATGACATTTTTTGTATTATTATTATGCACTTGCATGGCTTATTCGCTCTGGCTTTCCAGGGAACATCATTGGAAGGAGCCGACCTCAGCACAAATGAGCTGTATCAGCAATGTTTATGACCACCATCTGCAGCTGTATGTCTTGCAAAGCACGTACCTCTGCTCCCGGAATAAAGGCTTGTAGTGTCAATGGTGCTCCCCGACAATCCACTCTGCACTTTTCTGGCTTCTCTCCATAAAGATAGACGTCCATCTGCCCTTGCCACAGCATGAGCTACTTGGCTTGGCATCACGAAATTCTTTGTGCCAACAGGTGCAACTGACATAAAGATGCTTCAAGCAGCTTGGGTGCACAATGCAGCCCATCCTTGCGACACACCATAAACAGAAATGGGTGCATTCCAAAGCACAACGTGGCAAGCTCATCGTTGACGAAGTTGGCAAGATATAGGCCAAGCAATGGAAACTACAAATTGCCAAGTACTCCGGAGTAAGACAATGAAGCCAGAGTTGAGTAAGCTTTATTTTTACATCCACGTACACAACTGCAGCCTGCATACGTCTTGCTTGCTGTGCACATAGGTTACCTTGTCTGCTTGGTCATTGGGCAGTGAGAAATGTTCACCCCTTGCTCCTGCCATTTGATTCACACGTGGCTGTGGTACGGCTGCCAGGTCTGCAGCTTTTGGTGGGAAGGCAGCAGCTGCCGCTTGCTCCTTTCCTTCATGCCCTGCTGCTGTCACAGTTTGACTAGCAGCAAGAGGGTTCACGAAATTTGGACCTTTCGCAGCACAATGGGGCCCTGCAACAATTGCCATTTTGTTGAAACAATGAATCTGATGCAGATGTTCACTTTGACAAAGTCACACGAGGCCATGTCCATACCATTTTCAGATACTCAACACATATTAGGTGCAAGCAAGTCAAGCACTCGCTCTGGATGGAATTATGTCACACAATGTTCTGATCTGTAGTTCATTGGGATTCAGTTGCTGCAGTTCTGCGATCCCAGTTGTTTATACATATACCCAAGTCAATTGGCAATGCCCCGAAGAATCTGTTCTGGGCAAGCTTGTTTTCAAGGAGCCAGGAATTTCACTACCCCCAATGGCCCAAAAGCAAACGCAAATGCCAAAGGCATATTGAAGGGATCTGGCCTACTGGGGACTGGCATGCTTGCAAACCTGCACAGCATCACAGCGATTGGGCGATGGACTGTCTCGGCAACAACTGCATTCGAGGAGAAAATGTGCCTTACCACCACTATTCTCAAACATCTTCCTGGATGTTAATTCTCTGTTTACTCTTCTTCTCTTCTTGATTCTGTCAATCAACATGTCATCAGATGCATCAGTGTCAAGTTCTGTGTCTTCCGATATGTCAGTTGGGGGTTCTTGTGACGATGATGGCAAGCTATCCATCGTCTCATCCGATGGGTCATCTTCATCATCGCTATCTGTGCAGACAGCCTGTGAATGGCTCTGAAGCTGTATTGAGTCCCAACAGTAACAGTTCTTAAGAGTGTGCAACATGGACAAACACACTGAACGGTGCATGGTACCTGCACCACAAACTGATGACAATAACATGAATTGCACCTAGGTCAGTCTCTTGTAGCCAAATAAGATTAGCACTCCAGTGGAACAGTAGTTGCTAGGCAATGCGCCACACTCAGCTAGCTAAGCAGCTGAACTGCAGTTCCAACAGGATGGGAAGGAAACACTGCTTCTACCCACAGAAATTTTGGTAACCACCAGTGGCAATCTGCCAAGTTGAACAGTGTGGAGCAGAGTCTTTGTCCAGTACCAGTTCAGCAGCAGAGGCATAGTTCAATAACAATGGCCAACTGCAGTTCCTGCAAAGGTGAAAAGAAGCTACACATCTAGCAGGAGAAACTGCCAACGGGCCAAGATGGACTGGTACCTTACCCTCGCTTGAGCTTTCCTCCACATACGAAGGCCGCATTCTCAGTGGATTTTCCATGCTGCGCGTCCAACGCCCTTCAATGGTGTTGGTAATCCCAGCGCCAGTGACGTTTGTGTCAGCTGTCAAACTTGCAAGCTGCAAAGCAGCAAGGATGTAGTAAAATACAGTCCCCACACTGTTGTATGATCGCCACCATGTCAAACCACAAGGCCAAGGCCGATGGCTTAGTGCCCACTCAGCCACCAGCATCCATTCCAAAATTGATACTACCAATTCCTTTTCATGAATTCTCTTTGCTCTTGGCCAAACCCCTTCCACCCCTGGGGCCAATGCGGCAGCTGAATTAGGATCCCATGCTGCACAGTCACAGCTCCAAGTTAAGGGAAGACAATGCACTGCAGACTGGAATGGCAGTATGTCCCCCTTCCAAGTTAGCCTTCTTCAATGCCATTTGTAGGTCAGTAAAGCTTGGGAAAAATCAATGGACAAACCAGCAGCAACATTGCTTGCTGTTTAGCACAGTGCAGAATACAGTATCAACTGAAGCATGTGGATGCCATACCAAGGTGCTCACATTGTGCTCCTTCTTTCTTTTATTCTGGCCTCCATTTGCTGCACTCATGTGCCAATGGCTTTCTCTTCTTTGAGGAATCTGCCCCTGCAGGATGTGAAACCAAAATTATCAGGTTCTATCTGCAAGCGGCTTCACCCCTTGCATCTGTCCAAACGGCGACAACACAATCAAATGGTGGCCACAGTCAACACAATGGCCCATTCGTCATACAATGTATTGAAAAATATGACGAGGTATCAGATGTTGGGTATTCCTTTATTCTTTCCTATATTCAACAATATTTCGACTCTCTGGGTTGTGCTTGTAGGGGCACTTCATAGGGCTATTAGGTGCACTAAGCAGAGAGCCTGCAACACCTTAAGTTCTGAGCTGCAAGAATTGTGGATGCTGGGATGCCACATCCACAACCACAAATGTTGGAACTGGATACAAAAGTCCATTTGTCACAGCCAGCACCGTTGTTACGTGGGGCACTCCATCGATTGCTTGTCACATTGTGCTGACAGGCGGCTCGTCATCACTTTGCCCTCTGAGGCACTCAGCATGTCCAATCATCTTTCCTTTCCTTGCCACTGACCGCTCAAGCGGGCGACTGGTAAGACCACAGGAACAAATTTGGGGTTCAGAGTGGGCAGTTTCTGTGGCCGCGAAAACGTTGGACATCGCCTGATATGTATGGGGGCAGTGTTATTTTTTTTGGTATTCCAACAAATGCAACAACCATGATCCACCAACAAGCGACCACACCAGAAGCCAAGCGCGTGTCAAAGAAAATCCAGCCCCATCACCACAAGAAAATCACCCTCCACCAATGAGCTGGCCGCGCAGCACCTCAGTTGTGCCTATTCCCCACTGACATGCTGAACCTCAACCATGCTGCGCTGCCTGCCGCGCTGCTGCTCTTGGTCAGTGGCCCTGCAATTTTCCGCACAGTGCGTGCGCGCCGTTCGTCACTGAGCCAATGCCCCCATCATCCCACCTTCCTCTTGGATCTGCAGGGCCGGGCCGTGTCCATTCCGTCGAGTTGCCGCCCCGGCGACAAATGCCACCACAGTGCTTAAGCACACAGCAGACGGCCGACGAAGCTTAATCCGTGGGTCAGCAGGGCGACGATTCAGCAGCGGTGGTGCGCTCCTACTGCAGCGGACGAGAGGAGCGAGGTGGCTGCCAATTCCAGTCAGGCGCACTGCTTCTTGCGGGCGGCTGTGGGTGCCGCACCCAAGACCAGGATGTGGGAGTGCGCCAGAATCAATAGAACGCGATGTTTTTGAAGTTTGTGCGCCCAGGGCTGGGTCCTGTTACGGCCGTTGTGCCGAAGGGTGCGGGGGATTTCATTTGAACGCATGAGGTTGTCCCGAGAGGTCGTCGGGAGGGGAGCAGCCAGAATGGGGGTGGGTCTACAACCAACGCATGAGAAACTAAAAGCTGTCATGCGATATAAGAACTATGTTCGGTAATTGAGTCTTGCTCTTGCCACGACCGGCGAGAGCAAGGGAGATATGGGCGCAGCCTTCCTCACTCCCGTTTGCGCGCTGCGAGGAACCGAGATCTTCTTACACATTTGCGAGGAAGTTTTAATAACAGCCCCGGGGCCGTCGATTCAGTACATAAACACCATCGTACTAGACATGCGGTGATTCATCGGTGATTCGGTGGGGTGACTCTTGCGACGGGAAAACTTGGCCAATCGATTAGTCGGCCGAATTATTGTGGTGTTCGAACAAGGGGAGTTTCTTTTTTGACTATAATTAACTGGCGGTTCGTCGCTGTCAAATTGGCGAGCCTCCTCCTCCCGTCTGTCGTTCCTGACTTCATGTAGGGTCCTGTCTTGACATACCATATTTTATTTCACTGTATGTAACGATATTGCACTGCGATATGGCATGGATTTTCTGGACCCGCAAAAATTGAATCCTTGTGGTTCCGTAGTACATAACAAGCTCAGATCTGGCAACAATGATATGAAATTTTGACAATGCCATCCTTGTATGGCGTGTAACATTCTGTTCAACAATCAGTTTGCCACAATTGCGTAAGGGGCAGTCCAGATGGCTATAGTGATTGAAGCAGTGTGACTTCACGTGAAAATATTGCCTCGGTGAACCAATGCAGCAGATCCAATTTTCAGGATACTTGCAACAAATTAGCCTCAAATGACCAGATGCAAAAGTCAACAGTCCACTCTTGGAATCCATGAGAATAAGGGACACCGCCTTCACGCCAAGATTTATATTGGGCTCCAGTGATTATGGCACTTTATCTCGTAGAGAAGAATCAAACTGCAGATGAAGATGAACTTCGATGGCAAAGAAAGACAAAGCATGAGGATTTGCTGTTAGCCATGCGTTTGGGAAGCATGAAACCGAGCAGGTACATACGGCATGTGTGTCGATTGGCACATACCCATCCAATTACTGGGCAGTTGGGGCGATATAGACCTTCAATCAAATTTACAAGTGTCACTAGTGAGTCTGGGCTAAAGTGGAAAGTCAATGAATATGTGGGCAAACTCGTTCAAAACTTCGTGACCACACCATCATGTACTCTACTCGAAAACCTGACGGAACAGTCATTCACCATACCATTTCCCGAAGGCAAAATTCTTATTTGCATGTCAGGCAGTCAGTACTTTCTGAAACATCATTGGATTCCTAAAGCAGATTGCAGGCCATACAGCACTTGCCATATCCACACCTCAAAGCATTATATTCAGTTTCTGGGCTAGTTTTGCACTGCGAAACTTTAACGACTCAAGGTTTGCGGGTCACAATAATACTGCACCGCGGTATGGTGCGGCACCAGAAACGACAAGATACCGTGCAGTTTGGTTAGGAACATCCCTCTAGCCAGGCTTGGTATTTATGCCGTGAACACAAATTGCGTTTACGGTTCTGCACGTGGAAACATTTCTAATACAACGTAAATACATCCCCGTGTACATAAGGACAGTAAATACAGATTTGGGTTGTCCTGGGAGTGGCAGTCAGGCGCGCTGTAATGGACAGAAACGAACTGTCGTTGCCTTTGCCGAAGGCGAGGTGGACACTGTGTTGCGGGTGCTGGAGATGGCGGAGGACTGATCACTGTACGTGACTTTTATCGGATATCCTGGGTGTCCTAGCGAGCTGCAAAAACGTGAAAGTAGCCGCAAAAAATAGCCCCTTTCGCAAATTTAAGATTTTGCGCGTAAAAACGTAATCGCAAATACCAAGCCTGCCTCTAGCTACATTACTTGCCAAGTTCCTAACACCATGGGCGCATCCCACTCTTGTGACATGTCCTTGAATGTTTCGCCGTGGCGGCTGGGAGCTGCATGGGCAACGCTCTTTCAGGACTGCATCCACAGGCGCCTTGCTGCCCAAATATCCATGACAACTTGTCGCGGTTCACAGGGTGTGATGATGGACGCCAAATTTTATATGAGGTCTACCCCTAATTTCGACGTTTTGCCTCGTTTAGCGCTGTTTAGGCTCACCAGCCCTACAGTGCGGCTATGATCCACTGCTTCATGAAAATAGGAACTAATGGATTTTCGCATCTTCTTTGTGCCATATATACGATTTCAATGAGCGTATCATGGACGCTACTTCGCTCGGGCAAGATAGAAACCCAACGGCTGCCTCTTTGCCTTGTCATGTAAAATGTATGACGACAACGACGACGACGACGATGAAGATATTGATGATGATGCTGACTCATAGAATGTACTCCGATTACGAGCATTCTGCGTTCTCTACGTTCTCTGCATGTAAGGGGGCCTAAAATTGTATGTACAATAATTTACCCCGTGTTAGCGTACGTATACTGGACTTCCAAAATGAGTAACAGTGCATCCATGATCATGGGTGTGAGGCTGAAAGAACAACTGTGATGAGTGCGTGTGTTATGGAGATATGGAGATACATGGTGAAGTACGACACGGTGAATGTGGTGATGGTATCACGGTGACATGTACATGGAGAAATGAAGAGGGGAATGGAACGAACGGTTCCGTAGATACATTTACTTAATTGACACACTCATCCTGTAATGCATCTGGTTACGGTCTTGCTTCTGTGCTTGGGAGCGACCAAGTGCGGACCGAGCGCGAAAGGTCAGCGCGATAATGGATATTAACACGGGTTAGATCCATGATTCAAGGAGTATAAAACGAAGATTTGGTGAAAATTCGGATTGAAATAATGCAAATGAAGTGCACAGAAAGGCACAGCTGGCAGGCCAGGCTGCGCGCAGTTGAGGCGGCGGGATACGCTTTGCAGTCGCTGCTGCGCTGCTGGGTGCAGTGGAAGCCAGTATGGCTGCCGCTGAGTTGTGCGCCATGGCAGAATTTGTGATGGGAACAAGAAATGCCGGCATGTCTGCGGACGGCTCCACCAGCCGCGCACCAACGGACACATGTTGTATTACAATGCCCTGGGCTTCCATTGTGGGACTGGTAATTTCGTCACAGATTGGTTGTCTGGAATTGAGCACTGCCAGGTGCAATGAAAGCTTAGTATTGAATACGTATTGAATACGGTGGAATTTCCACCGGATGTACAAGTCTGAACCTGATCGTGGGGCATGAGGCAGGAAAGACGCAGTTCGCGGTACGAACGTAGATGATGGTCAGCGGTTGCCTGACCAAATTGCTCTCAGTAAGCTCAATAAAAAAAGACTTGAGGCTTTTTGTCTAAGGCAAATGCCGGATCTTTCCAATGCGCTTTCGACCTGCGGGCTCACATAGACATATCAAAGCGGTGCATGCAGTTCATCATATATGATGAAAATATCGGGAGCCAATTTTAGAAGACACCTGTATATTCAAGTGCCCGCTAAAGTTGGCTCCCGATATTTCCTGGGAACCTCCACATGCGATGTGATGCTTATCCTGCAAAGATGCAAACATGAAGAACGTAGCTGACAAGGCATCCTGGTGTGAGTTTCTGGCATATTTTATAACAAATTGGACATAGATGAGTGGGCGAATTGGTAGATTGGTTTGCTGAAGTGAACATGCTCCTGTCGAAGCCGGTGCCTGAATTGATTCCACTATTCGACGCTCATCTACACGTGGCGGTTCAGAGCACAAATTTGCTGTTGAAAAGTATTCGGTGCAATTTTCCAGCTAACATGTTGCAGCGATGGATGTGAAATTAAAATGGTCATCTGGAAATATGTTATGGATGAACAACAGGCAACACGGCCACTCGATTGCCGGTCTCTTTCGCTATAAAATTCATTCAGAATCGAGTGGCAGTCTTACTGCACATCAAATGACAGGGACAGCAGCTCCCCGGCCCCAGATCAGCTTGATCCACCTTTATCAGCTGGCAAGACAACCGTGACACGCCCCTCCCCATGTCCCCTCCAAAGAGCAATGAGCCGCTTCAGCTCGTCATGACATATGGCGAGAACATTGGCGCCATCTTCCACGTTCGACGTTCCCATGGATAGTTCTCGAACGGCGTATCGTAGTTACATCGGTGACTATTCTGATTTACAGGTTTTGAACTCCTTTCGCGCGGATTTTGCAACGGACAAGAACATCGAAATCTGAAATTGAGGCAGCATGTCCCAGGTACGCACTGGCACCCAGGCACTGTTCCGTTGTGCACTAGTGGCCGTGGCAGGGCGCCCTGAGACTCTTGTGCTTTTGGCCCCCCCTGAATGCTCAATTTCGCCGCGAGTTTGCTAAAGGGCAATTTGGGCCAGTCCGCGCTAGCAGTCTTCACATTGAGCGTCGATATGTCTTGCGCACTATACTGAATTTGTCATTCCAGGGCGCTAATTCTTCGCTCGCACCCAAAAACAACAACCGTCGCTCAGTTGATTCCCATCAGCGTTCTCAACAACCCAGTTGTGCCCCTGTCCGCAACGGACACTGCACAGGGTCCCTAATTTTGAATGTAGGAGGCGAACGCGTCAGCCACCAGAATCGTCGCGAAAGTAGCCCTCATAGCGCGCCGCATTTCTGCTGCGTCAACAGGCAGGATAACTGTGGTTGTCGCCAATTGATCCATATTGTCTTGTACA